TAGAGGTGCGGTGGTGAGCGTATTCCTAACGCTTAGCTCGTTGAGCCACACCACCGCGCCATCTGTAGTATTTTTGTAAATTTTAGGTCTATATATTTAGATTAAGTCATTTTTAGTGCATGTATTATTCTTTCCTTATATTATACAGTATTATATTATACTGTAAATTGCAATAACAGTGAAATGCAGAAAAATTCATATGTACCGTAAATGGCATTTGAAATTTAGGAAAATAATAAAACTTCATTCAGCTGTTTAATTGCATCACAATATATGTCACAAACTACACCTATCTAAAATATGCTCCCAAGTATACATTATAAAAATATATCAAAAACTGTCTGCGGTCGTTTGCACAATTCCAAAAATGCAATGCGGCCCCCGAAAACCCACAAGTTTGACACCCCTGACCTAGACTGATATCCAGACAAACAAACCATGCAATATCGAATATTGCAGAATTAAGAATATTCGCTATATTTTGCATTTGGACATGTTTCTTTGGAATAGTAAATCACGCATCTCCGCCATCCTCACTGTCAACTCTAATATAGGATAGGATTCATTTATTTATGCCAGGGGAGAGGAAAGCCACTAAGGTAGGCTTAATCATATGACGAATCATGGCCTCTCGTACGGATACTAGTTCATGTAGGATATGGGATTAGTTAGTTAGTTGTTTTGTTTTCGAAAGCATGTACTTGATGGCAGAGTAAGCGGTAAGCGACCAGGGTTATGTGAACCATCCCATGGCGACGAGGAGTCCAACAATTCTTCCGTACATACCTATCCTTGCATTGAATTAGACTTGCGAACCCATGCAGGGTAATCAGAGGTGAGTTGACGAGCATATCACTAATGCTTAGCCAGATGCCCCACACCGCCAAGCCTGGCATAAATCTAACATTTTAAATTAACTATATCGAACATTTCCTAATGGTAACTACATCTGAATAGTACTGTAAGTTTGATAATCTAGTTTGTTTGGACATTGAAAAAATTTTTTTTGTCTCAGTTGGCTATAGGGAGCTAGCTGTAATATAACCTGGCAAAGCTGCAACTGGTAACTAATTTTCATACATCAGTATTATAGAAAAGAATAAAAATTACCTCAAAGCAAGATCACTCACTCACAGGTAAAGAGTTCTTACCTCTAGGCAATGTTACAGGCAACCACAATAAATAATTTACTAGGCAATGCCCAGTCATGAATGTTCCAATGTTTGAGGCAAGAGGCATGGATACGGAACAAATAAGAAATACGTTTTCACAGATTTCAATGTACCGTATCCAACAACATGGGTTGTCGAAAAGTAGTTGTTTTCAAGTCTAGGACAAAGATATGTTTTATAAACAATTTACAATATTCATTTTTCTTTCGAGCATAATACCACCACGTCTTGCAAAACCCGTCTACAAAATGATTTGATTTTCTGTATGAGGGATATTTTTCAGATGAAAATTTGTTTGCGGTATTATGAGTATATTTTATGGTCTATTAATTAAGTTCACGGCAGCCAATGGAATGCCAAGAGTTACTGAAACTATATGATTGTATCAGTGAAATTATAAGATGACTTGTATTTATTTTAGGCTAACTGCCACGTGGACTTGGCTCAGTGATTCTACTGGAGTTCAGACTCAAACCTGACTTGACACTCGGATGGCCCACAACTGTACTTGACTTGTAACTCAGGGTCAGGAGACCTCATTCAAATAATAAAATTGGAAATAAAAAATCAGGGACTAAGTATTAAAATCAAACAGAAATTTTCAGTTTTAATGAAACCTATCCTGATAATAGTGTTCCCAATTTCAATAACTAGATGTGCTGGCTATACAATTCAAATTGAAGGTAAAATTCAATATGTATAAATTCTGAGTTATATCTACCATAATCGCTTATAGAAGAAAAGATATATACAATTATGATAATTACAAAAATAGGAACACTGAATTTTTTCCACTTGAAAACAATATTCACTTTATCTGTCTTCACATTATTTTTGAAACATTATAAAAATAGATAATGATCTTAAACCAAAACAATTTCCAACTAGATAACACTAAACTGGAATCAATGGCTCAGTGGTTAGAGCATGGGTCCTAAATTATCTTTAAATAACAAACTAAAAATAATGAGTTGAAATCAGTCCTGGGAAGACTGGACCATTTGTCAGAGACTCAAAGTGACCTGAGTCAGCGACTCATATGCAACTGACTGTTGGTGAGAACTTGAAGTTGAACCAAGACACGGTTAGCGTGACTCAACATTGGGTACTCTCGTAGTCTGTGTACCACGTTAGGGTTGTCCCGTAGGGTGTGTTAGGTCACAATTTTATACAGATTTTCAGTCCCTTAACACAACTTGATGTTAAGCAGTAGAACAAAATTAGTTACTTCCATATTGGTACACATACTCCTGTGAGCGCCCAACTTTGCACTCAGACACAAATTTGAATCAAGACTTGGGCAGCCGTGGCTCAACTTTGCACTCAGACTCAAATTGGAATCAAGACTCGAACAGCCGTGGCTCAACTTTGCACTCAGACTCAAATTGGAATCAAGACTCGAACAGCCGTGGCTCAACTTTGCACTCAGACTCAAATTGGAATCAAGACTCGAACAGCCGTGGCTCAACTTTGCACTCAGGCTCAAATTTGAATCAAGACTCGAACAGCCGTGGCTCAACTTTGCACTCAGGCTCAAATTTGAATCAAGACTTGAACAGCCGTGGCTCAACTTTGCACTCAGACTCAAATTTGAATCAAGACTCGAACAGCCGTGGCTCAACTTTGCACTCAGACTCAAATTGGAATCAAGACTCGAACAGCCGTGGCTCAACTTTGCACTCAGGCTCAAATTTGAATCAAGACTCGAACAGCCGTGGCTCAACTTTGCACTCAGACTCAAATTTGAATCAAGACTCGAACTGCCGTGGCTCAACTTTGCACTCAGGCTCAAATTTGAATCAAGACTCGAACAGCCGTGGCTCAACTTTGCACTCAGACTCAAATTTGAATCAAGACTCGAACAGCCGTGGCTCAACTTTGCACTCAGACTCAAATTTGAATCAAGACTCGAACTGCCGTGGCTCAACTTTGCACTCAGACTCAAATTTGAATCAAGACTCGAACAGCCGTGGCTCAACTTTGCAGTCAGACTCAAATTTGAATCAAGACTCGAACTGCCGTGGCTCAACTTTGCACTCAGACTCAAATTTGAATCAAGACTCGAACAGCCGTGGCTCAACTTTGCACTCAGACTCAAATTTGAATCAAGACTCGAACTGCCGTGGCTCAACTTTGCACTCAGACTCAAATTTGAATCAAGACTCGAACTGCCGTGGCTCAACTTTGCACTCAGACTCAAATTTGAATCAAGACTCGAACAGCCGTGGCTCAACTTTGCACTCAGACTCAAATTTGAATCAAGACTCGAACAGCCTAAAATGTTACTTTAGTTTCAAATAAATAGAATTGGTCCTGAAAATAGTGTTCATGTTTTGAATAAATAGAAATTCTGATTGCATAATCCTAGTAGACTGTACCATTCCACAGTTTTTGTGAACAAAGAAAACTTATTAATAAGTAATGTATTAGTCACCAAAACAACTTCTAGAAGTGTAGATATACAACAGCTAGGCGTATGGAAACACTGAATATTTCCACACATATACAAGGCAATATTTCAAAAAATTCCCTGTAACCTTGCATTAGTCAAAGTTACATTACAAGATGTGAATGTCTCAAGAATAGTGTTTCCTTTGTAAAAACAATAAATTCCAGCTACACAATCCGACTACGTTGTACCATTCAAAATTATTCTTTACAAAGCAACTAAACGTCGTATTTTCAAAGGTACATTCACCACAAGAGCTCTCAATATAACATGATAAACATATGGTTTGATGATTTACAAAATGGGAACACTGAATCAGTCAGTAATTACAAGCGAAGCAAATATCAATTTGTAAAGTATTTTCCACCAAACTGGCTTCAATAAGAACAGGGTATGTTATGCCATCACATGTTATGTTTTCACATAAATTCAATCCTCAATCCTTCATCTCAGTCTTGATATTTCCTAAACATTACAACAACCAAACTTTAAAGACTTTCTCATCCAAAATTGACTGATATCAAAAATGTGAGAATGACAGGCATAGAGACCAAATATATTTTATAATAAATTTTCACAAAGCAAGGTCATAAGCACTAGCTCAGAAATAATGAAGATTGATCTTTGAGATAAGTCGTGGGTAACCACAGAAGGGTTCTAGGAAAACTCAGCACAAGAAATTTTTATTGAAGGAAATCTCGCCGCAGGAATTTCGCAACATAGGAAAAATCGCCGCAAGAGCATTTTGATGTAGAACAAGTAGTTGTGATAAAAACAGTTAGTTTTTCAAAGTACCATTTTATTAAAAAAAATTCGTTTTTTAAGAGCCAACCCTAACTCTATAAACCCACCGGTACTCTTTTTTATCACAAATACTGTATTTCCGGGAAAAAAGCGAATAAGTCGCTTTTCTAGACCCAAATTTTTGGCCAGGTTTTGGGGGGTTTGTCCTATTGGGCGAGTATGATAATTTTCATTTTTTTGGTGTCGCCTTATTATTCAATTCGGACTATAAAATACTTTTGGCGATACTACTTGTACCTGTACTTCATTCCGTGCTAGGGTTTAGCAACAATTTTGCCACGTTCGTTTTGTTCAGTATTTATTCTATTCACACGGAACACCGAGGACAGCGTGTTCCCTCGGATATATCAGGAATTTATACCATACTATAAATGTGTTGTGGCTGCAAAATTGGTCAACGTGGTTCACTAAAATTTTGTCAGAGATTTTGTCTTTCTAGATGTGGTAACCCTACTTTATATGTATTATTATTTATAAAATGTAATATAATCAGGTAGTTTATCTCCCTTTAATATGTCCACAGATTGCCGTGTCATTTTAGATCGGTATCGTTCTTATATATATAGTGGACGTAATCACGAGGTATGTTGAAAACAGTTAGATTGAAATTTAATGACAGTTTGAATTCACGTAGTTGTTTGGATTGAATATTACGATACAAGAAAAAGTCATTATAGGCTATTTTAACCAATGCGCAAACGTGGTGACCGCTCAAAAGCCCGTTCACGGTAATTTGAGATTCCCATGTTGATCCAAATTTACCACCCCGTTTCATTGGCAGGTTATATGCAAACACCCATTTTTCAGGATTAAAAACGGGCCTCATCTTATTTACCAGGTAAGCTTATTTGCGGGAAATACGGTACTTGTTTCACAGCAAAATGCACTTGCGGTAATTTTTCCTGCAGTAAGATTTCCTACAGCGAATATCCTGGACACGCCACAGGTACTAACAGATTCTGATATCCTAAAAATAATGGCATACAAATACCTTTTTGTTGTTTTGATATGTTTGTTTAAAAAGACATTCTTACTAGTCATGCTTCATTGATTCTCAGAGGTGCAGAAGTAAGAAATAAACCTGACCATGATAGTAGGGATGTCAATAATCTATTTGCATGGTTTTTAGATTTCAGATATTGAAAATAGATTTATCTAAATATTACCTCAAACCAGAGCAATTCTAATAAATAACAGGCAATGAAATCTAATTTTTTTTACAATTTACAGTATAAGGATTAAATTCTGTACACTTCTAACCTTATCTAAAGTTTTGTTTGCTCTCCTAATAATCAGTTTCTATTTATTTGCTTTTATCAATCCTTTTAATATTATCTTTCATGCTGATTATGGAGCCATCAATCTAACATACAATTGCAATACAACCAGGTGGCCATTGGAAGCCGTGAATGACTCATTCCTTCTAAGTATAATACATATAAATAGATGCGCCTCTACAGCCTTGCCTCTAAGTATAATACATATCAATAGATGCGCCTCCACAGCCTTGCCTCTAAGTATAATACATATAAATAGATGCGCCTCTACAGCCTTGCCTCTAAGTATAATACATATCAATAGATGCGCCTCCACAGCCTTTCTCTAAGTATAATACATATCAATAGATGCGCCTCCACAGCCTTGCCTCTAAGTATAATACATATAAATAGATGCGCCTCTACAGCCTTGCCTCTAAGTATATTACATAGGCTATCAATAGATGCGCCTCTACAGCCTTGCCTCTAAGTATAATACATATCAATAGATGCGCCTCTACAGCCTTATACAAAGAGAGATTGTGAGAACAAATTATA